TCGACACATAAGACCAACCGTTATGACTGGCGTTTATTTACTCTATATGTTCGTGATACTTACGGATGCTGGAATGTAGGCGCTCATTTTTTTGTGAGCACTGAGGATGCGGATACAGTCACAGAAGCATTAAGAATAATTCGTAATAAGTATTGCCATTGGTCCCCCCGTTATGTACTCTCAGATCAAAGTAGCATCGAAGCAAAGACATTGTTGGTATGCAATAATCACATGATGTAATCCAATAAAATTTGAACGTTTTAAGATGGGACAATTGCGAAAAATTTTTTCATCACAGTAACACAGATCATACAGACGATAGCTCTTTATCTTTTATTGTACAATATAATATCAATAGACGACAAAATGCTTCTGACTAATTAATACAACAACAAAATGTCAACTATTAATACAAGACCATTGTTGCGGTGACAGTTTGGGTCACACATACTATTCGCTCGATTCTGCATAATATTTATCAATTTTAATTTGATTAATTAACGGAACTCGGTATCTAAATTGCAACTGAGAATCAATTATACTCACCGGCTTGATTGCGCTTATCATATTGCCGGATTCGCTCGGGCCACATTTCAAAATTTCGGACATACTATCATCTTCTCCTGTTATCCTATCTTCAGTCTCTTCATCATTCCATTTCCTTAAGTCCTCCAGGCAAAGCGTAACAAAATTTCTCTCTCTCTCAGTAAACTCTCCATGTAATTTGTATCTCAGCCAGGTGTCTATCCGACACACATATGTTACACGATTTCGGCTTGGCGGAAATATACGGAATGGTCTATACATACATGTATCTTGGATAAAGAATCCAGTTTTATATTGTTCTATGAGATCGATATCATCTTCCGAAGATGAGTCATTGTGCAGTTCATTTTCACCAATGTTTTCAACAATGTTTTCGAATCTTTCATTTTCATCGTTTTCATAATGATCGCCATTGGGAATGTCATCTCTGGACAGAAATTCAAAATTATTAACAGACATCTTGATGTAGTTATGACTTGTCAACTCTGCAAACAGCGGGGCAACGTTTATATAGAATTCGGCAATGTGTTGGACGAACGCTTATTAAATCGATGTAAGTATTGTTTTATGAAACAATTTATAATCAATGCGTATCATTTAGTAGGATGAGTTGCGGATCGTATGATTTACGGTTCCGTATTTGCATACTCGATATGATCAATCATACGACTCAACGATCTGTCTTATGTTTTGTCGAACTCAATCTTATGATTGTCGAAGACTATATCACAATAGATATGATCAATCATACGACTCAACGAATTTGTCGAACTTAATCTCGAACAGTTTATCATACGATTATTCTTCGTTATTTCAAGTACGCCGTGATTTACGATTTATCATACGACTTTAACGATTTGTCTTGTGTTTTATCGATATTTCAGGTAGACCGTGAATCGTATGCGATTCTGTATTTGATTTATCAACGGTCAATCATACGACTTAACTTGTAACTTAATCTTACAATTGTCGAACAATTTATCATAATGATTATTCTTCGACACTTTCAGTAGGCTATGATTTACGATTCTGTATTTGCATACTTCAATATAATCAATTATACGACTTAACGTTTGTCTTCTTACGATAGTAGTTTATTATTCTACATTTTCAAGTAGTTCATGGATTACAAAAGTTGCAGAAGTTGTGCACCCGAATGTCCGACTAAAAGTATAAGGGTGCTAAATTTAGGTTACACCGTAGGATAGTTGCATTTGTAGGGGTGCCTAATCGCTTTTCTGGAGACTGATAAAGATGGGCTGTTTCTCGATAATGATGATATTGATGTATTCAAAAAAAGCAAGGTCGATTCTATCTTTACGGAGCAGTTTTCTGTAATGTGCCTCATAGTCATGCACAAATCATTAAACAACAGTTAATGGATAATAATAATGAATATATTATACCCTGGTCTATCGGTTGAAGATGTG